AAAAAAAAAAAAAAAAAGAAAAACAAGATAAAAATAGACAAAAAGTATGGGCATACCAGCAAGCATATCAATTTCCTTGCCAGGGACCAACGTAACACCTTCTAAGAGTGCTCCAGTTCTGTCGTCAATACGGAAATCTTCAATAGAACCCCTTGCAGCTAAACTATCCTCCGTCGACTCTGAAAGGACTAGTGTTTCCTCATTATTAACAGATACCTTGTCCCCATTATCTGCCAATAGATTGCCAGGAGCCTCAGGAGGACATGCAAGCTCAGTAACCGTGTCCGGGACAACAGACTGAAAGCTCACAGTAACTAATGGAGAAACTGCTTTCTCAACAGTCTGCCACCTGTCGCCGTTTGAGTGCTTGATCAAGTGATCCGAGGCCAGATATCCATCCTTGAGTAGGGCCTTCAGATCGGACAACTTGGAGGGCCCACGCTCGACACCATAGTGGTCCAGATAATACCAATTCCCAGAAACTGCATCATTCACCTGAGGAGAATGTGGAGGAGTGTCACAAATGTCCATGTCTTCTTCCATGGATTCTAGCGCCTCAATAACTCCGTTTTCCTGAGAAGATACTAAACTTTTAGATTGGGGACTTCGAGAGAGCTCATCATGGTGAGACTGGTGGCTAATATTGTTCGGGGCATCTCCATTATCAACATTAGTCCCCCCATCTGATGATTCTTTAGCTGAAAACTGCGACTTAATCACACTTTGCGACTTTCCTTCAATCCCTTTGCTTCCACCATGGCTTACCCACTTCTCACCCACTCCAGATTTATACCTACCTCGATCAGTGTCTTCACGATTTCGCCCATGATTGCTGGGGGACTGCTCGGGATAACCAGATGGGCTTCGAACCCTGTTACGGCTACGGTCATAAGGGGACCTACTCCTATCATACTGATTCCCATGGTCGTAAGATGACCGGGCCGGGCTGTCTTCCAAGATACTGTCTTTGCGGGCCCGCTCATGTGGGGACACCCGCTCTGGATGGTGTGGGCTGTTGTTGTGCCTATCATGAGGCGCCCTAGATGAATCCACGTATCTGGAAGGGTACTTTTCAGAGGGAGTTCTGTACGGCCTATCCATATTCCGGCCAGTATTGTGGTGGCTGCCATCATTCGAAAGCTTCCGGTTTTTTGATCCGGGAATGTCGTCGAGGTCAGCATGGAACGACTTTCTGCCACCAGTTTCTTGATCATTATTGTGCCGTTTTAAACGGTTAACAAAGGGGTAATCCTTAGAGCGGCCCCTGCTGCTGGTAGAGTCGTGATTCTTCAGAGAGCTCTCTTCCCCAACCACCATTCTACAATTGGCATTCTCAGCCTTGTCAGCTTCGTATCTGGAAGAAGACTTCCTCAGATGCTGACCTCTGCCAAAGTCCTCGCCAGAATACTTACCTGATGAGGGTGGAGACCGGTCCCGCTCAGCTTTCCAGCTCTTTCCTCTATCGGATGATGGTGCCCAGTCAGAGCCACGGTTGAATTTCCTTCCCCTTCCTTTCACAGGAGGTGAAGTCCAATCGCGGTTGCTTCTCCATCCTTTTTCCTTCGTATTATCGTAACGCCTTGACTTGGGGTGGCCGTATTCATCAGCAGTCCTCTTTGTGAACCACCTGTCCGGGACATACTCGCCTTTCTCCAAATCATCCTTTGATGAGCCGCAGTCATTTTTCTCAACCTCGTCGCCATTTTTCCGCCACTTTCCAGGTGTGCCAAATTCGCCCTTCCCTACCTCACTCTTTACCTTGTACCTTCTCGTGGGCTTTTCTGGAATAAACTCGATTGGAAGAGTACCCAGTTCACCCTCCTCCACCTCCTCCTTAGTACTATCAATGGCAACATCGCCGCCACAATTCTTGTCAGCAACATCTTTATCTACACTGCCGTTATTTACACTGTTGGATTCCTTCTTCCCCGTAATGCCTCCTCCTTTGACCTTTTTCAGCTTCATCTTGGATTTTGCTATTCCCGGCTTGCCTGAAGGCTTGGAAGACGAATTGACCTTCGCGTCGCCATTTCCATTCCCCCCACAGATTGGGAACTTCTCCATAACGTGTTGTGAAGGCACGCATGCAACACCTCCATCGCCCATGGAATGCCCCAAAATGTGCTTCTTTTATTCTCCTTAAGAGAACACACGGAGCCAAACCCTAAGCCTCTTCTTCTCCAGGGCTGTCTATGCTCATGCTGCTGTAGTGATGTTTCCTCGTATAATAGCTTCCCAGAAAAACTCCTTCCTCAAATCTCGCCTGCCATGTTTAAAGGAACCACAATCAATCGAAAAATCTCACAATTATCGAGTAAATGCAGCGGGGGGGCTTAAGAATTAAACATCAAAAAAAAGTAAGAAAACTCAATTTCCTCAATCAAACGTAAGCCCAGAAGGTCAACACACGAAACTCTTACGCTGGAATCCGACGAACACGAACAAACGCCGAAGAGAAAATAATTGGGGGTTGGCGCTAGGGTTTTGAATCTGAAGGCTTACGAGACGCAATGGGTCCGGCTGAGATCGGAAAAGCAGGCGAGCCCAGTGAACAGAACAGGGAAATTGAGAGAGATTTGCAGAGAGAGAGAGAGCAAAAGGGCAGACTGCAGATCGATTGGTGATGGTGACGATGATGAAGAGAAAGAATAGCTGAAGACGAATCTCTGTGTCTCGGTTTTTTTTTTTTTTTTCTCTTTTTGTTTTATGTTTTTCCTTTGCCCTTTGGTTTTTACGGGTTTTATAATAATGAAGATGATCTTTTGTTTATATAATCCAATTAAATTAGTAGCAATCCTATTGCTTGTGGTTTGGTTATTATGAAATTGAGCGCTTTATTGTTTATAATTAACCGGAATTTAATTAAAATTATTTATTTATTTATTTCTTTATTGTTTTATTATAGTTTTTAAGTCTTTTTCCATTTTCTTTATGAAGCCACCTTTCTTTATTTTTATTTTTATTTTTATTTCCTATGCCATGTCTTTATGTGATTTGGAAATTTGGATAATGTTTTTGGGTGTTGTAGACAAGATTTTGTCAATGTATCAAATAATTAAATTAATGTAATTTGATTGTCATTTGAATAACTTTTGTATACAATCATCTTTTGGTTTGATTATATATATTTTATTAGAGTAAACTTTTATTATTGGTGAAATATATGTGAATTATTGTGATGATATGAAGAATAACAATTATTTCTACCGTTAATTAATAGAATAAGCCGAGTTTGAACTCGTTTAGTTAATAAGTGGGGTTTGCCTCAATTCGATAAATCTAGTTAACATTCGAAAAGTAGGGTTTTTACATTTTACAGTTTGCCTCGTTTAAGCTCTAATTTAGCTCGTTAAGGCTTGAGCTCGATTCGTTAATATTGATAAACGAGTCAAGCCCGAACTTTATTACGAACTTGTTGTTAATAATCGGTTTGGCGCGCTTACACCCTGAATAATTATAATGATATATAAAAATAAAATAAAGATTGGTAGTTTTAAGTAGATGAGTTAATAAACAATATATTTAAGAGATAATATTTAGTGGTAATTGATTTTAATTCACATTTGTGAATAGATTGGAGTTAACTCTATGAGTAATTTAGAGTGAAGTGTGCGTCTTCATGTTGTTGTGAGAATTGTTTGCAATAAAAAAAAAAAGTATGAATGCATAATAGTCATAAGATATGATACATCGAACAATAACAAAAAAAAGGCTAAGATTACATAATAATAAAATGTATTATGATACACTCACTCACCCTTTCAAGGCGTCGAAGACACGTCTAGGTCATAGTGAAAATGTAGGTACTAGTCACATTCATTTATTTATGTAAAAATAATTCTCATATTAATCAACTTTTAATCGGCTATTTCCTTGTTCAAATTTGATTTAATACAACGAGTGCTTAAATTTGATTTCATATGATGAATGCCACAAGTTATGGGTGGAATATAGTTGAAAATAAATTTGTCCTATGTTCTCTCTCGCAAAATCACACAAAGTTTTTCTACACTTATTCTCTAATTATTCACATTTTTATAGTCTCAAAGTATGCACTTTGTATTTGATAGATTAAATATTTTCTGACACCTAAATATGCAATCTAAAATATTAGTCATTTTTGTGCACCTCTTTATCGGCTTATTATCTTGTTTATGCTTTGAAGTATGCAACTTGTATAGGCAGATAAGCATTTTCACTCAACGAAGTATGTATTTTAAAATAGTTAAATATCTAGTTGGCAAAACACAATAAACAACTAATAGTAACTCAGTATGTATAATGCATAAACTAAATGTGTAATTCTAAAATTGACGGTCATTCTGAAGATGTCGGCGACATTTGTCGCTCCCCTACACAAGGAGGCGAGTAGTCAATCATGTCAATCAACCAGGCGACCACCGAAATATTGACATCATCGACCACCAGTTACATACGATAGTCACAACACCCGGTCATCATAATCGATTCAAATTTTTTTGTACTCATCTTAGCAAAAATCTAACTCAAATTTAACTCAACTCTATCATCATCAATATTATCACTTTTATCACTCAAATTTAACTCAACTCTATTCATTCGCCCACATATTTTAAACTACCTATCACTTTCAATTATATATCTTCTACTTTTATATTACATTAGATGTATTCAAAATTTAAATATTAATTTAATTACAATCCCTCAACTCATTCAATCAACTTTATTCAAAATAACTCATTTTACTGTATTATGATCCAATCAAAATAGATTTTTAACCAATCACACTAAGACAACTCATGTACTTCCCAAATAACAACATTGAATATCAAATTTCAATACCATGTTCATTGATATAGTTTTAACTTTTAACTCTAAATTTAAGGGTGGGATGTGAGTCACAATATACTTGACCCGTATGAAATTATAGGCGTTGGGCTTGATAAATGGACTCACATCAATTTTATTTATAGTATCCATTTTGTCGTATTATGTTGTATGTACATACGAGTGTTGTGTTGGATTTGAATGCTATAACCTAGATCAGAAACTTTCTTTCTGTCATTGTTTGTTATGTTAGCCCAAAATAGTCTGACACAAATTACTTGGGCCACCCCATATTTTATTATGACTGAATATAGCCCACTGGGCTTTAGAAACAATAATCTTCAAAATGACTGATTAAGATGTAGCCCATATATGAAATGATTGAAGTTAGAGCTGGAGGTTTTGACTGCTACACAAATGACAAAACCCTAGAGTGTATCCGTTTAAGATTTCAAATGACATTTTTTATACTTTTTAATATTTGCATATTTTGGAGGAATTATATGAAATCTTAAGTCTACATTTGGGATTTGGAGTGAAATTTCGGATAAGGTTTTTTTTTTTTTTTTTTTTTTGAAATCTCAACAAATCTTAAATAAGTTCAATACTTCAAGATTTTGTAAGATTTTTTAAAATTTCAAATGAATCTCCAATACTTTTACAAGTCTTAAAAGTCAAAATTAAATAAATCACGATTTCTAAGGCATTAAAAAGTCTTTAAAAATCTCAAATGGATACACCCACCTAAATCAACGAAGTTATTGATAGAGGTGAAACTATAGCGTAATTATATTGGTATGTACATAGACATGGTCACGACCCGAACCGGTCTGCCGACTTGGTCCGAACAATCCAAAATCAGCCTGTGGTCAACGGGCCTTGAACCAAGCTTGTGGTTTGACTAGACCTATTTTCGGCCACATATATGTACATTCTGAACCGACGGGTCAATTACGAACTGGAGTTGAAACCGGCGGTTCGAACGTTTTTTTAATTATTTTTCTTTTTTTAGAGACTAGGCCAGCCCGAAACCGGCAATTCACCAAACCGGCATATATCAGCCGACTGAGCTAACCGACCCGCGCATATGTTGGGGCATATCAGGGTCATCTAGCTCTTAGCTCGGCACCGGGTCCATAACTGATTTTGGCCATGTATGTACGTACGTGTATAAAGGGAACAAGGGAAACAAAAATTAAATGATGATTGAATCATTCAACACACTAAAACACATTTTCAAATGACATTTGCGCTCATAAAGATTTTTAGTTCTACAAGTAAAAAACTTTTACAAAGTCCAGTCTATACTTCAAAGGGCATTACTATTCACCGCTCTCCTTATTACTAGTCACCGCCCCCTTTTGATGTTTTTGTCCTTCATTACTCTCTCTACTATTTTCCTCTCGATTTTATACGGCTCTTTTGACCGTCAAATTTTTTTTTTTAAAAAAAATGCCAAAAAAATATCGGCAAGACATTGAAGATTGACAATGTATTTTTTTATTTTTTTTTTTACTTTGTAATTTTTTTATTATTTATTCATTTTTTTGGTGCGTCCTACCGGCGAGGCCGGAAGCGAATGGCTCCGTAGGACACGCCAAAAAATCAAAAAAAAAAAATATAAAAAAATTTAACTACAAATTTTTTTAAAAAAAAAACATGGTTATTTTTTCAATGTCTTGCTGATGCCATGGTATTTTTTTAGCATTTTTTTGATTTTTTTTTTTACGGTCAAAAGAGCCATATAAAATCGAGAGGAAACGAATAGAGGGAGGAGTAGAGAGAGTAGTGAAGGGCAAAAACGTAATTGGGGGGAGGTGAGTAATAATAGAGGCGGTGAATAGCAATTCATTACTCCAAATGACTTCTCAACTTACTTCGACAAGCCTCCTATAGAAGGTGTTCAAACCAAGCATATGTCTTGAAGATTCCTCTCATAAATACTATTATAAAAATTTCTCTATATATATAAAGAGAATAAGCATTTACTAAAAACAGTAGCCAAAATAATGTGGAAATATTTATGCATACCTTATTTAAAATCATAAACGAAATGTTTAGAAAAAGAAAACATAAGTAATCATTTAGTTAATAAATCAAAAGTTTAAAACTAGTTTAAACTAGCTTTAAATAAATATTTGAGAGTTGTAAATTGTAATAAATCAACATAAACTTAAAACCATACACAATAAGTTTTTAAAAGAAAACGTCACTCGATTCAAAATGAAAAAGACATTTTAGTGTACATTGGAATTGTATTCCCAATTTTGTAGTGTAATAAATGTGTCATTTAGCCTATA